CAGGAAAAAGTTTTGGAATTTTAGGACGAAGAATTTGTGGTAATTCTGCTCAAGTGTGAATATTGCAAAAAATTTTAACATTTTTTTATGAATGCACAATCTTGTGCATTCTATTGTACATAATTATTTTGACGGTCCAAACAAAATTATTTTTAGATCTGTATCTAGCTAATTTTTTAGATACCTCAACAAAACCATTCTTTTCTAGTAAAAACTAGTCCAAAGCAGAAAATTAAATCTTGACATTTTTTTTATGAGGCATCTGTTCAATAAACTTTAACAGTAAATAAACTAATAGTGATATCATTGTTACAATTTTCTACTCAACAATGGAACTGTTACGTATGTTACATTTGTATTGTTGAATAGAAAAATATAATATTGGTATAATGTTACTGTTAGTGTTTATCGGATATGTATCTGTAGAAAGAAAAATAAATGTAGAATTATTTTTTTAAATACGAGCGCTATTAAGTTTAAACATCGGTCAACTTTGATATTTTCTGGCGATAATGCGATTGGTATAAATTTTTCTTGTTAAAGATGACGTTCCTCACGTATTATATATGAAAATAATTTACGACAATAGTAGGTGTTTATATAAAGATTTACCTCTGTATCGTACTTTTTTAGCTTTGATATGCACTTATATGTATCGAAAAAAAAAAAAAAAAATGACCGTGACCGACTCACTATTAGCGATGACTGTTGTTAAAACAGTCTGGCTGGGAAAAAAATTCCAGCGGTTCGCGAGGTGGTTTGCACGTCGATGCTGATTCACAATGCCGTCGCCGTACGTGACGCGAAGTCGCAAACAACGAGAATGTGATTTATCGCGCGTAACGCGCTAATCGGCGGCACTGTCAAAGTCACGCCGTCACGCCGCTGCGCCGCTCACAGTCTGTCCCCTTTATCTCCCTTCTCTTTTTTCGCGCCTATCTTTCTAAGTCACGCCAGCTGGAAAGAACGTCACGACGCTCGCGGAATTATCTCGAGAAATACAATTTTTCGATAGCTATCGGAAAACGCGGTGTAATTGAAGTGAAAGAAGTCCTTCCTCTTCGAAAGACAAGTAACAATTACGGATGTATTTTAATAAAATGAAAAAAATGTGAAAGTTTATCTAAGTATTATATATTTGAAAGTAATACAAAAAGTTTGGCGGCAATTTAGAATCTGGATAAAAAAATTATTTCAATAAGTAGACATGTTTTTAAAAAATAATTAAAATAAAATGAGAAAATTCTTATTTTATCTTATTTTCTTATTAAATGAGAAAATTCTTAAATTATAAAATTGTATTGTGTTAAATATAAATATTAATTTAGTATTCATTTTTATATGAAAAGTACAAGTTTCCAATTTTAATCACTTTTTACAGAGATTATACATCTTTAAACATTCGAAAAGAAAATTATCAGATAAAACAAAAAAGACAAAATAATTTGATTAAATAATTCACGTTCTTTCGAGCAATTAAAATATCAATACTTTATTAACAAAAATTTAACAGAAGAAAATTGCGAGACTTTTCTTCAAGTACCATCGATAAACGATACTGTTGTATTATCCGCCGAAAGCGTCGTCAGCTTTCGTTCAAGGAACGGAATCAAAGCGAAAGGAAAAGGAAAAGGAAGGGAGAACAAATGGTTCACGACTAACCCAGTTTCAGCCTCCGAATCGTTGAGGCGTAATTTAAACGCCTCTATTACAAAATTCCTCTCCCGCTTCACCCGCAGGCAAACGCATCCACACAAATGCACGCAGCGCAATACGCAAGAGAGAAGAGCGAGAGCGAAGCTCATGCGAGAAGTCCATCGTCGACGCGCGCGTCTCGCCCTCTCTCCACCGCGCTGCCCCTCGCTCCCTCCCTCCACCCCGCGTTCTCGTCCGCCCTTCATGCGCGCCTCTCTCGTAATAATAGAAGGACGCGACGGAGCAAGAGTGCCGCGCCGGTTGGCGGCGATGACACGCGCGCACGTTACACGCACAAGTGTGACACACGCACGCGTGCACACGAATACGCATGACCGCGCGGCGGTTCGC